CACGGACCAGACGTCGGTTCTAATGTGTTGAACATGTGCTGAAAATTCGTTTTGTGTGAACATTTGCTCCTGAATGGACTAAGACTTATTCGGCCATACTTACACCGTCCGATTGGTACCAGTTTTTCAGCTACCCTGAACCGACCAATCAAAAAGACGCAATGGTTGAAGTTCTAGAATTAGCATCATTTTGGTTGCTATATGCCATACATCACTCCACTAACATGCATGTGTGTCTATTCGTGATTATACCTCATAAAGTTGATATAATAACTAATAAATCATCTTCGATACCATCACTAATTGGGTGGGCATTACGAGGCAATTAAATGTCACTTTCAAAAGCCATTTTCGTCAACTTTGCTTCACCCTTTTATGCCTTCAAAACCGTGTGTGTATGTGTATTTGTGTATGTGTGTGTGTGTGTGTGAGTAGATGTTAAGTAGGAGTTTGATGAGGTCCTACCTGCCGGTGTTAGTGGCTATCATTTCGGCCTTGCAAGCGTATAGTTCGCTCCAAATCTTGGCCTCCTTCAGCTTCAATTGGACCCTGTCGGCGAGTTCGAGTCTGCCGTCGGTGGAGGAGCCGAGTCCCGAAGACGTGGAGGCGGCCGGCGACTCGGAGGAGACGGAAGAGGACGAGAAGAGGGGCTGCTGACTGGCGGCGTTGAAGGGAGCGCCGGCGATGGGATAAATGTCGCCTGGCAGACCGTTGGCCAGACTGGCCGGATCGAGAAAGCCCGGTCTGGTGGCGGCCTCCAGACCGGGCCGCGGCGGCGGACTGGAGGCGGAGCCGGCCGCGATCGACAAGTGCTGGATGCGAGTCAGCGCGGCCAGGTTGCCGGCGAGTGCGTCGACTCGACGCGAGCGAAACAGGTCGTCGGGTCCGAGTCCCGCCAGCCACGAGAGGCCGCCGTTGGCCGGCACCGGCGGCAGCAGACGCAACAGCAGCTCTTGCGTCGGATAGGTCAACGTGATGGCCGTGACGGCCGGCGACAGGGCCGAAGCCGACACGGTCGGCGTCATCTCGTCGAACGACTCCAGGAAGTTGTTCGTGCGAAGGGGCATGCAAGACGAGGCCAACAGGCCAGGACTTCGACCGCTGCGCTGGTTCATCTCGCCCAGAGAATAGCCCGACGAGTCACCTGCAACACGGGATCAAAGACGTGCCATTTAAGGTCTACGCAAACGAGTTAATTCTGCAAAAATCCGATTT